GATTCTAGTTATAATTTTTTGTGATATATTATAAGCATATATAGATTATTTGGGAGGATTATTTAGCACCGAAAATACACAGATTTAAAAAATTTAAGTCCCATAACTACTTGCCACTGTAGGATTTAAGTATACCACTAGTCGATCAACTCTTTTTGTCCTTTGAGGCTCAGTTAGTGGATTCACATTAGACAAACATATTCTATACCTTGGAAAGGTATAGGGAATCCTTCTCAACTAGGTTAACTGTTGGACTCCATGTTGCTCACATGGTTTATTTCAATTGTAAGAAACTCCCCAAGAAAAAGTAAAGTTATATTATTTTCAGTATTTAATATTATTGCATATATTCATTTTTAAAGTTTTGTCGTTAAAGGATATGCAAGTTTTACTATTCAGTCGACCTTATTTCAGTCTATATTTAGAGTACTCATTTCAGTTAAGTATGTTCAATTTTAGACAATTGTTACTAAGTTATTTTACATACCGTACATTTCATGTACTGATGTCATTCGGCCCTGCATCATTTTATGATGTAAATTCATGTACTTACAACATCAGACACATCTTTAGGACCACTTTCATACAACTTTCGTGAGACCTCCTTACTTTCGGAGGGCTCCAATTTATCTTAAGTATTAATAGTCGGTATATATTGTTTGTAGAGTATGATCAGGTATCCCGTGATTTTGTTCTGGTAACCTATATTCAGTATGTTAGAGGCTTCATAAATGAGTCAGCCGAGTTATAACTTTCAGTATTGTTTTACAAACATACATATATATATATATTTCTTCAGATTTTCAGATCTTTAAATAAAGTATTGAGCTTATCTCTAAAAATTAATGCATGTTCATCTTTTAAAAGCTTTCGCATATTTGTTATAGCCTTCACTCTTTAATATAGTAGTAAGCCTGACCAAGGGCTCGCTTGAGACCTACAGTAATTCTGAGTGCCAGTTATATCCAGGGCGTAGGCTCGGAACGTGACATTGAGTTATATAATTGATAGTACAAATTAAATTGCTATAAAGAAATAAAAATTTAAACCAATATGTTGGGTGATAATATCAAGGACAATTGAACTTTAGAAAAAACTTTAAATTATGATTAACCTAACTTCTTATCTAAATGTCTGAAGTTTAAACGGTTAAAACCAAGACTTCAACATTTGGTCTGAATTTAAATTCCTTTCAACCTTAGTTTGATGTTAGACTTCGATAAAGTAGGACTTCATATCAATGGTAAAAAAATTAAACTTTATAAACTTCGGCTATTTTGAATATAAATATCCTAAGTTCAATTATTTGTTCACTACCTCACATAAGAGTGAAAGAATGCATCGACAAGAGTTAGAATATTATCTTAACACACATTTAAACAGAGAAAATTACTCTTCAACCATTAGAAATTTCTAAAATCACCTTTCAGTTCACTTTTAGGTCATTGATATTTATATCATTAACGAATAATTTTATATTTATTTTTAATAACAATAAAGCTCTTGCACGGATTGTCGTGCTTTGAATCAATAGTCAAAAATTAAAATCTTGACACATTGAATTTTACATACATACTTTGAAAAACTATCTATATTTACCTTTATATTTTTTTTATGAAATATCTTAAGATTATCCTATACTATATTTATCTATATTTACCTTTATATTTTTTTATAAAATATCTTAAGATTATCCTCTACTACATTATTATAGTTAAAAGAAAAATTATTTTGAAAACTCTTTTGAATGTTTCATTTTTATTTTAAGACAAGACACAACTAGAGTATCAATAATCTATGAAGTTCATGTGACCTTGTTTTGATCAAGAGTAAAGTTGGATCCAAATGCACCAATTAAAGTTTATGGTAATGACTAATAGGTATAGTGTATATATATATATAACCATTTCTCGACTGAGGGAGTATTTATTATATAAATCATTTGGACTTTTTATACCAGATAAAATTTTTGTTCGTTGCTATTAGGTTCAAGGGTTACAAGTCTATGAGATTTTTTATTGACTTATTTTAAATGTTTTTAAGTTAAAATAATTTTATAAATATTTTACTAATGTTTGTGCAAGATAAAAATATATTTTAGATACTTGTTTGAGTTGAATAACAAAAAATAAGTCTTAAACTATAAGTCCATTAAAACATACTCGTAATGTATCTTTATTTAGTACTCCCTCTATTATCTTATTTACCTTTTGATATTAATTTAATATACTATCTTTATCATTATATTAGTTTTCCACATTTATTAAGTAAGAATAAAGATGAAAATAAATAAATAATTAATTATATCTTAATTTCAAAATGTCAACTATTTTTAATAAGTAAATAGTAAAAATAAACAATCAATCTCGAATTATCGTAACTTAAAAAATAATTCTCTCAAATTATAACGGGCAAAAAGGGAAAGTCCAATGAGTGCACACGTCTCGGTGCCTCACGTAACTTTTGTTAATACTTAATTTAGAGTCGATTTCACGTTACTCCTTAAGTAATATTTAAGGGTCCAAAAAGTAATAACTCATCACATGTGGAATGGAAATAGTAACCTTCAAATTTAATAATTTTTAGTGAAATTTACTTTTTAACAATTTTTTTTTTTTGAAAATTAAAACATAAAAATATCTAACTCTTATTTAAGAATGATGTAATATACTAGATACAAGAGCCGGTGCAAGAATCGGCCCAATACATATATTTTTATTTATCTCAATTTTTTTGTGGCACGGATAGAATTAAAGAGTTAATCACATTTTTATATGATTCTTAAATATTTTAAGTTGTTAATTATTGTGATTTATAATATTTTAATGTAATTTTTAAATAATATATGTTAGAGGACTCACTTTGTCCCAATTTATGTGGGAAGCTTTGCGAGTCAGACAAATTTTTAATATGTTTTTAAAAAATTTCTAAGTTGTTAATTATTATGATTTATAATATTTTTAATTAATGTAATTTTCAAATAATATATATTACTCTCTTTGTCGCAATTTATGTGGCACATGTGAAATTTCGAGAATTAATCAAATTTTAAATTGATAATTATTGTGATTTATAGTACTATTAATGTAATTTTCAAATAATATAATGTTATCCTATCTGTATTTTGAGAGTTTGATTAAATTTTTAATATATTTTATTTTGTTAATTATTGTAATTTATAGTATTTATTATTTAGTGATTTACAAATACACAACATACTAAAACAAAAAATAAGATAACTAAACTAAAACAGAGAAATTATTATTATTAAATATAAATAAAGGAGAAGGCCAAATCGATTAATTAACTGACTGAGCCTAAGCTTATCTGTTCGCTTCTATATTATAGAATAAAATATATTGCACATATCAATGTAAGTACTCAAAATTATCAATTAATTTCATGAACTCAAAGTATTCTCAATTGGATATTTTCTAAACAATTTTCAGATGATAAATTTCTAGCATGACCTCGTTGTTCATAAGTTCCGTTGAATTTTATTTTTTTAATGATAAGTTCAATAATATTATTTCTCAATTCTTAAATATTAAGGGATCAAAGTAGACTCTATACTTTGCAAGGGAAAACGTGTTTGACTTTTTTTGAGTATAAATAAAATATAACTATTGGAATTACTTCCTCTGCTTTAATATGAATGAAGAGAAGGTCATTCTTTTACAAGAAAAAAAGATTTAAATTCACACATCTATTTTCTTATATTTTTGCGGTAAAATTTAAATTTTTTTTAGTTAAAAATACTATTTACACAGTATATGAAGAAGTTACGGTAGAAAAATTAGTTATTCGACTTGTAATAGTGTCTCATAATTTTGAAATAGTGAATATAATTAACGTACATTAAAGTCTCATAAATGAACTTAATTTATTTAATAACTTCCAATTGTGTAAGCAAAGAAAATAACTCTATCAATAACATAATTAATTCCCAAACTAAGAATTTCAGGTTTTATAATTTTCTAGATAAAGTTTATCATATTTTTTATGTTGCAAGTTATTACGTTAAATTATGTACACTCAAAAATAGTGATAACGTACTCTTGTTAACAAAAATAAATAAATACATAATGAAATTCACACTCATATACAAGTACTTCAATAAATATTTGACTAAAAAAAGTCCTCATCAATCAAGGGTATATTTAAGACCCACGTGAACGTTACAATTTTTAAAATTTATAGCTCGTAAAAGTTAATGAAGATTAAGACAGACATAAATTAGAGTTAATTGACTAAGAGAAAGAAAAAACAACAATTGCAGACTTAAATTTGTAACGCTGCAATTGGATTGTCTAGTAAAGTTTAGTTCTTCAACTACTATACAAAAAAAAATATATCCACTCTTAATATTTAGTTCAAAAAATCAAGAAACAATTAATTACATAATTTTTAAAATATTAAATTTATTATATTTAAAAAGTGTCACTTGCATTCAAGGGTGTGACTTAGTGGTCAATAAAGTGGTTAAGATTCTTGAGGTCTTAGATTCAGAACTCAGCAAAGACAAAGAATGCAAGGTAATTCTTTCCATTTGTGTTGGCCTGGAGACTACGGTTATAAAAAAGGTGTCACTCTATTTATTATGTGTGTGCCAACAATTCTCTCTATCACCACCATAAGATAATGATAAGGTTGCGTACATTCTACCATCTCAAACACCACAGGTCGTATCCCAGACACCCAAATGAGATTTCACTGATATATTGTTGTTGTATATTGTCAGATATCACTTGTGAAATTCCACTGATATGTTATTGTTGTTGTGTCAACAATGAACTATCCCAGACAACACTTATGAAATTTCACTGATATATTGTTGTTGTTATTGTGTCAACAATGAAGTTAATACCGAACAAGTAAAAATAAGCGAAAAAAGTACTAATTAATTAGAAGTGTGCATATAATAAATAGGTATAATTAAAATCATTAATTGATGAGTTGACATAATCCAAATAAAGATAAAAGTGAGCAGTTGAGTTTTAGTTAGAACAGAGTGGACTTTATTCTTAATTAATATTAGTGATGATTGGTAAACAACACCTTACCTGAAAGCACAAAATTTCTGTAGAAGAAAATGGTATAACTGAAATTTATTCTTGAATGCAAGGGCTTTCTGGTCAGTAAAAAAAATATTTGAAACCCAGTGGCCGTTTGAAACCCCCGAAGAAACCTCGAAACAATCTTCAATGCAACCAATTCAACAATTCCAAACACGACCTAAAGAAACAGAGATTCAAAGGGGATTTTGTTGCTGCACCGGCGGTGGTTGTTTCCGGCGAAAGAAATTTCCGGAGAAGATAAGAAGAGGAGGGATGACGGAGGCCGAGAGAAACCGGGAGCATCAGTTGTGTTTGTTGGATTTCTTGTTAGCAGCTTTGAGGAAATCGATGGTGTACTGCCGTTTTGATGGAAAGGAGGAGGTGAAATCTACAGTTCATGCTATGGAAATTGGATGGCCTACGAATGTTCAGCATCTTACTCATGTTACTTTCGATCGGTTTCATGGGTTTTTGGGTCTTCCTGTTGAGTTTGAAGTGGAAATCCCTTGTAAAGCACCCAGTGCCAGGTTTGTTTAAAAATCTTAGCTTTATTGTGTTTTTGGCCTTTTGGTGCTTTTAAATTTCAAATTATTGATCTGGGTCGACTTTGGTTTCATGATTCTTTTTGTCTTTTATGTTGTTTGCATCTGATTGTAAAAAAAGCATAAAACTGAGATAAAGATGAGACTTTTACTTTTTCAGCTTAGTTACCTGTGTTTGATACTTATTCTTCAATCAACTATAACTCCAATTCCAAACTAATTAGGATCAATTATGTGAATTTTCACTAATGCTCAGAGGATTTGTTATAGTTAGACTATCTTTGTACTGGCTGTCAACTTACGAGTAAAGGTTCTACTTTATATGAGCTTTGGACAGACATTCTTTGTAAAGCTCACTTTTTCAAATACTCTCTCCGTTTCGATTTGTTTGATTACTTTCCCTTGTAGTCCGTTTTAGAAAGAATGTTTCTTCCCTTTTTTTGACAACTCTTTAGTTTCAATTTTTCACGTGACATGTTTTAGACCACAAGATTCAAAAGTCTATTTTACTTTCTTAAATTTGATGCCAAGTCAATAGCAGGCAAACAAATTGAAACGGAGGGTAAATATGTTTTAGTATGATGATCTGTCAACAGACTGTGCAATACAACAAGTTTAGGAGTAGTTCATGTAAACTTTGAAAAATAGTGATGTTTTTATACGTGCAGTAAATGCAACAGATTTACTGTGTCTTACTTTAATCCTATTAGATTTTAGGTTAAGATCATGTTGTTCATTGGGAATTGAAGAGGGGAGAACGCGATTAATTTTGATTTTTTGTTATCTTGTTAATTGGGAATTGATGTGGGGAAAACAAGAATACATTGAACGGTTAATTTCAATTTCTTGTTATCGTGTTCAACAAACTCATATTAATGCAAAGCTAATTGAGGGTGAAGATAGCATTAGTATGCTCTAATACCGCACAACTAGTCAATACTTTTATTATAGGCCTGCTTATGAAAATTGGAATTATGTCACTATCTTACTTCGTAATTTAATAGTTCTGAATTTTGATATGCCTATGGTCCCCTATCTTTTTGGGTACATGATCATAATAGACTAGTTTATTTCATGCCTCACCAACTGAAAGCAAGTTTTTTTGTTTTTGGTTTTCAATTACTCCCTCCGTCCCAATCAAGGTGGCACAATTGGAATTCAAGAGTCAACCAAGTTTTTCTTTGACTAGAATTTCTTTATATGCCTTTTAGATATTTCTAAGTGTTAGTTATTGTGATTTATAGTAATTTTTATGTAAATTTCCAATATATAAATTTTATTTAAAAAAGCTTAAAGCTCCTATATCAGAATTCACGGTCAAAGTTTAGAAGTTTGAATCTCGAAATTCTAACCGTGCCACATAAATTGGACAGAGGGAGTAATTGTCACGCGAGTCTCCTTGTAACCAACTGGAGCATGTTCATGATTCATCACCTTGCGTAAGTTGGTTGCACCTTAAGTGATTATATAAGTTCTGTCTGAATCTACAATCACCTTTCTCAGAATTGTCATTTTTTAGCAAGTTTTGCTACCAATTAGAAGTGGCTCTTATAGAATTGTAGTACGTCAAGACAGCTGTTGTTAATTACCATCTGCCAAAACTTTGGAAGAAATTAGTAGTTCCGTGACCAAATGGTCAAAGTAACCTTTTATTTACCAGCTAGTTCTGTGGACAGTATGAAAAGGTGGGATCATGTTCCTGTACTGTGTTTGATTCTTGTGGTGTCTCCCGTTAAAATGTAACACAGAAGATCCTGAGATAACTCCTTGGATATATCCACCCTATTGGTTTTTGGTTTTCTATTCATTTCACATGAGTATCCTTGTGCCAAATTAAAGCAAGTTTATAACCTTGTTGAAGTTGATTACACCAGAAGTGTTTTTTAAAGTTGTGTCTGTATCTAAACCCAATTTTCGGAATTGTCATTTTAGTAATGTATTGGTTGGGAATGGAGGACTAGTGGTGTGCTTATATGGACTTGAGAATCTTGGGGTTGAGTTAGGCCCAAGTGTCATATGTTTGATTTTGGGGTTGAGTTAGGTCCAAATGTCATATCCTTACAAGTAAGTTTTGCTATCAACGGATCTAGGAATTTCATTAAGGGGGTTCAAAAAAAAAAACTGTAGTGCTTGGGATTTGAACTCGTAACCTCAATGTGAGTTTTGAAACCCCTAAACCACTGGGCCTGCCTCCACTCCTTAAGTTCAGGGATTCAGAATCTATATATACACATAATAATAAAAGAAGGTTACCTTACATATACAATGTGATTTTTGGTCAAGGGGGTTTGAGTGAACACCCTTGCGGGTCCCTAGATCCGCCTGGAATTGTCAAGAGGGATGAAAGTAGTAGTTCCTTGACCAAAATGTCAAAATAACCTCTCTTTGTCCACCAATTCCCCATGCCAGTATGCAAAGCTCAGATGCTATTCCTGCTCTGTGTTTTATCCTTGTGGCATTTCCTGTAAAAAATGGTAACAAGGAAGATCTTGACATAACTCTTCAAACATATCTAGATTACTAAGTTTTGTCCCCAGTTTATCTCACTGGTCGCAGAAGTTGCAACGTTTTGTGCTCTATTTTCATATCTTTTGCTAAGGGCTAAACTCATTACTTTAAAACTAAGATGTGTCCTTGGTTAAGGACTTCTAGTAGCTTCAACCTAAAAACAAATTTGTAGGACAGCAATTATTGGAATTTAGCTATCCAAGTAATTGCAAGGCGTTGATGCTAAATAAAGACAGTACAAGGAGGATGGTAGTATGCAGCTTCTATCTTTCTTTATTTAATCCCTTAAAAGAAAAAAGGGTAAACAAAAGAACTGGTTATAGTTGATTCCAGATGTTAGAAGCTTGAGGTCCTTTTGAATGGTGGGGTAATTGCTATTGTTTCAATTTCCGATGATTCCACCATATCATACAGATGCTGAATTCTTTGCACTGTTCGTCACTATTCTACATTGTTCAGTTTCACTCCATTCTTTGAACTGTCTTCAGCTCTTCATTTAATTTAAACTTTTCTAACAGCAAGTGTATGTTCGTATACCTGTTTCCACTTCTGTGTGTGACATTTATTATGTAACTGGTTGGCTCTTTATCCAAACAAAAAAAATATGATGAAAAAGAAGAAGTTGTAAGTGGTTGTCTGTAATTTGCTTCCAGACTTTATACAGAGTTTCAAGCTAATTATTGTATCATGCTAAATTTATACAATTGTTTTTGCAGTGTCAGTGTTTTTGGTATCTCCGCAGAGTCAATGCAGTGTTCTTATGATACAAGAGGCAACAGTGTCCCCACTATTCTCTTGTTAATGCAGGAACGTTTATACTCACAAGATGGTCTAAAGGTATCACAATTTTTCTATCATTTCTGATTCATGAGGAAGTCTCCCCTGTAATTATATTCAATGTCAAAAATAATTGTCTAAGTATTGCTTGATGAACCTTTAGGCTGAAGGAATTTTCCGAATAAACCCAGAGAATAGCCATGAAGAGCATGTAAGGGACCAGCTCAACAGAGGCATTGTGCCTGACGACATTAATGTCCATTGTTTGGCTGGACTCATCAAAGCTTGGTTCCGAGAACTTCCAGCAGGTGTGCTTGATGGGCTTTCACCTGAACAGGTATTGCAATGCAACACTGAGGAGGAATTTATTGAGCTTGTGAATCAGCTTAAGCCAACTGAGACCGCATTGCTCAAGTGGGCAATTGATCTTATGGCTGACGTTGTTGAGCAAGAGGAAACCAACAAGATGAATGCCAGAAACATTGCTATGGTTTTTGCCCCAAATATGACACAGGTAAACTGAATATACTTCAGCAGTTCAGGCATAGAAAATCTTAAATTCTAGTTTCACTAACTGGTTGAAGCATATCACTATATTTCTTGTTTTTGGTATCAGATGTCTGATCCATTGACAGCACTCATGCATGCTGTTCAAGTGATGAACTTACTGAAGACCCTGATTGTGAAAACACTAAGAGAACGTGGAGAGACAGAAGGTGGAGGATATTCTCCCATGTCATCTAGTTTCTCTGATAGACAAACTGAGAAGGAATTTGACACCCAACAAGAGATGGAGAATAGATGTGAATCACCAGGGCCAGCATCAGATGATGATGAACAACCTCATTACAGCTACAACAGTGAAGACAGAGATGAAATCGAGTCATTGAGTGAGATAGAAAGAAGCTTCCTACGACAAGTGGATGAGAACAATCATGCAAAAAATGACTTCCGGAAACAACTACAAGGAATTTTGTGTAGCGAACACAAACCCACGAGTGCCTCCACCATCAGTGGAGATCCTTTTTCATCTACTCAATAATCAAAACAGGAGTTCAGGCTTGAGCACTAGCAATAGTAAAGACTCAAGAGCAACTTCTGTTTCTGTGGGGTTAAAGGTGCAAGCAGATTAACTGGAGCATGTAGGAGCACAAAAGATGTCAATATGGTAAGTAAGATGTGAACATGGTAGAGTCTGCTGTTCTATGTAGTTAGTTGGCTGTCTCATCCAAACTGGTGCGATTGAATCTATTCCGGTGATGCTTCTTTTAGGAGTCCTGAATCTCTATATCATCAGTGAATGGTTGTTTTATGTAAAAAGTTGCTATGCTTAGTCTAGACACAGAATGGTTTCCCTTTGTTTTATCAGCAAAGGATCTCTAATGAAAAGGCGACGATTCACATAAAGAACATAGTCTTTTGGTTTAACAAGATTATTGGTTGTTCTTTCATTTACCATGAATCCTGTTAATTTGGTCCCATTACTCTTATCAAACAGTAATGACTTGTTTTGGAGAGTGACCACACATCATTTAGGAGAAGTGGTCAACTAACTAATAGCCAGCTTAAAGCCTAAAACAGTGAAAGGTGATTGTTCTAGTGGGAATTTGATGGAAGCAAAGTTCATTTGTGCTCCATTTCCATTTTGCTCTTAATCATGAATCATGTGAATTGTTTTTTAATTGTAACAGTATTATCTTTGTATATTCTACATGGTGCGTTTTAGATTCAACCACCATTAAGTTTTTGCTATGGTTTTCCCATTCCACAATCGTCTCATAATATATCATATTGTATTGTATTGATGACTACACGTTCAGATAGATTGTATCGCTTCTATCGTTACATAATATCAGAAGGATAAAGCTAGGATATTGGGTAGAATTGCTATAAAAAAGTAGGGTAAAAGATAAAATATAATTATTAGATAATAAGTAAATAGAATATGAGGGGAAAAAAGCTAACAACGCGATGACACTAAATTGATCGTTACATATAATGAGAATTTTCATCGTTACATACAATGTGTGAGGAATATAGGAAAAGAATAGTATTGAATTGTTGTTGTGTCTACATTATTACATTGAGACCCTATTTATAGACCATGGAATACAATCCTTTACCAAGTAGGATACTATTAAGTACTCATATTTCTATTTCTATTCCAATTCTAATACGATTGTATGAACCTATTCCTATTCTAATAGGATTGTATAAACCTATTCCTATTCTAACACAATGAATTTAACTTTCTTTCATTTCTTTTCCTATATTTTGTTGTGGAAAACATAGTGTTGGTACGAGGTTGTTCGACCTACGGTAGAGGGTGGATAGGTACTTTTTCTCTCATTCAATTAAGATTTCTTTTGGAGCCGGTTTGTATGCTGGACAACCATAAATAGATCTAAGATAAAATTGAAATATGCTAGACAAATACAAATGGTTCTAAAATAAGAAAATTAGTATCGTTTTACTCCTTAGTTGATTACTAATAATGAGATAACTAAGATTAGTAATTACCATCTCGATAAATTATTTATGTTACTAATCATGAGATAACTAAGATTAGTAATTACCATCTCGATAAATTATTTATGTCAAAAGGGTGAAATAATATTATCAGAATTCGTTATCTCGACATAAAATAATGAAAATGACCAAAATAACCCCGAGGTCCCTCAAACTTTTTTCCTTATTAAATATGATTTAGAGTATTTTTATAAACAAACAATTTGTTTTTTAAAAATTATGCAATTATATGCTATTTTAAAAAATAACTACTTTCAAGATAACCGATCGTAACATAACTATTCTTAGCTCAACTTATCTTCAAACCAAACTTAACTACCTTATTTTACACACAAAAAAAAAAAAAAAAAAAAAAAAAAAAAAAACTTCAAGAAATAAACTCAATGATTTTAGTCATCTCATAAATCTACAATTACAAAGTTTTATCTTGTGAACAAACATATTTGTTCGCTTGTTGATATAAAGAATTTGCTAACCTATAACTTATAAGCAATTGCTAAAAGTGAATTTATTATTTAACTAATTGCTAATTTTGATTGAGTCCAATTTCTCCAGAGTCAAAGTGTGACAGTTTTGTTTCATTTATCTGTGTAAAAATAACTTGTAGTAGCAATATATAATTGTCTATAGCAAGCCTAAACTGGTAAATTTTGTGAAAAAAAACTTGCTATAACCCATTAAAACCACAAATATATAAAACTTCTTAACAATGTATATAATTTAAATTTATTTAAATTTTACAGGTTAGACCCAAAAGAAAAAAAAGAAAGTTAGTAATATGCTTTCTTTGTGGTGCTGGTACGAGATTGTAGGGATTTTATTATGTATCATCTTTATCATTAAACAAAATATCTTAATATTGAGTGGCTAGCAAAATCATGACGTTATTCTACCCCACAATTTCATGATAATAATTTTAAATAGATAAAGTGACAACACAAAAGAGAAAAGAAATACATATTAAAAGACATATATGTATAATTTAAGAAATAACAAGTAATTGACACGGAGGGTGTACAAAAGAAAGAAACGATTTCCATTCCCAACTTTCTTTCTTTTCTTTTTTTTATTTCTTGCCGTGGCTCGTTTTGGAGTTTGGCTAGGATTTTCATTGAGTCTGGAGCTAAAATGACAACAAAATTAAGTAAAATTTTTAAAAGGACAATAAAATATAAGGTCGAAATCAAAAGAACAACATTTAGACGGAAGGGTGACGGTGGTGGATTTTTGTGCATAGAGCCTGCTTTGTAGATGTTGTCTTTTTGATTTCAACCTTATTTTTTTCTCTTTTAGAATTTTTGCTCAATTTTGTTACCTTTTTAGCTTCGGACTCGATTTTCATTCACAACTTGCTTTCTTTTCTAGTCGTTGCTCGTTTTAGAGCCTGACTAGGATAAATTTCACTTTTTATTAGGAGCAAATTTATTAGCTCAACTAAAATTCGAGATTTCTGAAAGATGGAGTGGTATTCATCACTTCATTATAACCTTTGATAGTGCATTTTCACGACTTTTCATTTCTATATACACTTTTGATACAAGTTTTTGTAACCAAAAAAATAAGGAAAAAATAAACAAGAAACCAGTTTGATCAGAACTGGGAAGTTGTGGATTGGATAAAAATATGAACAAATCATAACTCACTAAAATTAAGAAGCCAAACAAGTTTCCCAAAAAAGCTTATCCTTGTCTTTTTGGCTCTTCAATTCAGAATCAACACCAACACTACAAACATTACTTTTCAATTTCAAATTATTACATTTATTCATCCAACCTTGTTCAACTACACCCCCATCGTCCTCGTCCTCATCCTCGTCCTCTATATCACTGTTCCAACGATTAAAATCACTAGAAGATCTCGAATAAGTATCCACATCACCATCATCATCATCATTATCATTATCATCGTTGTTCTCAATTTTGAAATCCATTTCCATATCTTCATAGCTACATGATTGTGCATCATCATCTTCAAGAAAGCGTTGATGAGAAGAATTTAAAGTGATCAAAGAATCAATTGGATCATCACTTATCGTACTACAAAAATTAGAATCAAACTCAGAATCGCCCGTAGATTCAAAAAGCAAAAATGAAGACACATCAACAAGACTAGTACTACTAATACTAGTATTATTGCATTCTTGATGATTCATCATTTCTTCTTAGGTACCAAAAAGAAACATTCTTGGACAAAACCCCAAATCAAGAAAATGAACATATATAGGAAAATAAATGATTTTTTTTTTTTTGGAGGAGGAAAGAGTAAAGGAGGAATACAAGGAAAATGAGAAAAGTGGGGTGATATAAAAATTGAAAGGGCATGTGATGGTACCAAACTTCTAGAAGCCTCAATTATATATAAATGTTTTTTTTTTGGTATAATAGTTGTAGCCATCAATATTTATTCTAAAATATCCTAAAGAGTCAGCCACTTCTTCTAGAAACTTTATACTATGTCCAATTCCAACTTTTTATCTTTTTCATTTATTTAGATAAAGAAGTATTCAAACATTTGAAGGTTGTTATTGTGTTTACTGCTTTAACATTTACTTTACTTTTTTCAAAAAAATAAATTATATCCACTTTCTGGATATAGAATCATAAATTAGACTTTCCTTCGTTTTAATTTATTTGTATTATTTTTCTTTTTAATCTGTTTTAAAAAAATGTATTTCTGTTATATTTTATATATTTTAAATTTAAGATCACAAAATTCTATAATTTTTTTATTTTCTTAAGTTATGTATAGAGTCAAAACTAAACAAATAAATTGAAATGGAAGGTATACCTAGCAATGGTTAAAGGACAAATAGTTCATATATAGAATATTCATATTTTATATTTATTGATTTGATATGAATAACATGATATATAGGATACTCACATCTTATATTTATTGATTTGATGTGAATACCATGTCATATATTTTACGATTTTAACAACATTTGTCAAATAACAACCAAACAACAAACATAAATACAAATTAAGTTTTAATTCCCCCCCCCCCCCCAAA